TTGGCCGGCTTCAGTTTTTCTTTAACATATTTATCATCATTCTGAATAGAAATGTGGAAATGTTTCTTTTATACTTGAAACAAAAGGACACAAAAGAATAATGGCTGGTGACGTTAATATAACAATATGATCACAATGGTGACCCTGATTATGTTCTCAGGAGTTCTCCTTTAAAGATTTAATGTAATCTGTTTATATTTTGCCTTCCCTGGCTCCTCCCTTCCCCCTCATTAACATGAAAGGGGCGGGCCAGGGACAGTCTGGCTGGAGAGGAAAGCGTTAGATGATGCTGGGCGTCCTCCAGCCAGGAAATGAGGCGGAGCTCTCTCTGACTTGCTGCAGCTTCTAATGTACATTGTGAGAAACTCCCAGTGTGCAGTGACATCAGAGGAAGAATGGAGGAGCCGGTACAACTGTGCAAGACTGAAGGGGAGGATGGAGGGCAGATAGAAGACTGAAGGGAAGGACGGAGGTCAGAGAGAAGACTGAAGGGAAGGACGGAGGTCAGAGAGAAGACTGAAGGGAAGGACGGAGGTCAGAGAGAAGACTGAAGGGAAGGACGGAGGTCAGAGAGAAGACTGAAGGGAAGGACGGAGGTCAGAGAGAAGACTGAAGGGAAGGACGGAGGTCAGAGAGAAGACTGAAGGGAAGGACGGAGGTCAGAGAGAAGACTGAAGGGAAGGACGGAGGTCAGAGAGAAGACTGAAGGGAAGGACGGAGGTCAGAGAGAAGACTGAAGGGAAGGACGGAGGTCAGAGAGAAGACTGAAGGGAAGGACGGAGGTCAGAGAGAAGACTGAAGGGAAGGACGGAGGTCAGAGAGAAGACTGAAGGGAAGGACGGAGGTCAGAGAGAAGACTGAAGGGAAGGACGGAGGTCAGAGAGAAGACTGAAGGGAAGGACGGAGGTCAGAGAGAAGACTGAAGGGAAGGACGGAGGTCAGAGAGAAGACTGAAGGGAAGGACGGAGGTCAGAGAGAAGACTGAAGGGAAGGACGGAGGTCAGAGAGAAGACTGAAGGGAAGGACGGAGGTCAGAGAGAAGACTGAAGGGAAGGACGGAGGTCAGAGAGAAGACTGAAGGGAAGGACGGAGGTCAGAGAGAAGACTGAAGGGAAGGACGGAGGTCAGAGAGAAGACTGAAGGGAAGGACGGAGGTCAGAGAGAAGACTGAAGGGAAGGACGGAGGTCAGAGAGAAGACTGAAGGGAAGGACGGAGGTCAGAGAGAAGACTGAAGGGAAGGACGGAGGTCAGAGAGAAGACTGAAGGGAAGGACGGAGGTCAGAGAGAAGACTGAAGGGAAGGACGGAGGTCAGAGAGAAGACTGAAGGGAAGGACGGAGGTCAGAGAGAAGACTGAAGGGAAGGACGGAGGTCAGAGAGAAGACTGAAGGGAAGGACGGAGGTCAGAGAGAAGACTGAAGGGAAGGACGGAGGTCAGAGAGAAGACTGAAGGGAAGGACGGAGGTCAGAGAGAAGACTGAAGGGAAGGACGGAGGTCAGAGAGAAGACTGAAGGGAAGGACGGAGGTCAGAGAGAAGACTGAAGGGAAGGACGGAGGTCAGAGAGAAGACTGAAGGGAAGGACGGAGGTCAGAGAGAAGACTGAAGGGAAGGACGGAGGTCAGAGAGAAGACTGAAGGGAAGGACGGAGGTCAGAGAGAAGACTGAAGGGAAGGACGGAGGTCAGAGAGAAGACTGAAGGGAAGGACGGAGGTCAGAGAGAAGACTGAAGGGAAGGACGGAGGTCAGAGAGAAGACTGAAGGGAAGGACGGAGGTCAGAGAGAAGACTGAAGGGAAGGACGGAGGTCAGAGAGAAGACTGAAGGGAAGGACGGAGGTCAGAGAGAAGACTGAAGGGAAGGACGGAGGTCAGAGAGAAGACTGAAGGGAAGGACGGAGGTCAGAGAGAAGACTGAAGGGAAGGACGGAGGTCAGAGAGAAGACTGAAGGGAAGGACGGAGGTCAGAGAGAAGACTGAAGGGAAGGACGGAGGTCAGAGAGAAGACTGAAGGGAAGGACGGAGGTCAGAGAGAAGACTGAAGGGAAGGACGGAGGTCAGAGAGAAGACTGAAGGGAAGGACGGAGGTCAGAGAGAAGACTGAAGGGAAGGACGGAGGTCAGAGAGAAGACTGAAGGGAAGGACGGAGGTCAGAGAGAAGACTGAAGGGAAGGACGGAGGTCAGAGAGAAGACTGAAGGGAAGGACGGAGGTCAGAGAGAAGACTGAAGGGAAGGACGGAGGTCAGAGAGAAGACTGAAGGGAAGGACGGAGGTCAGAGAGAAGACTGAAGGGAAGGACGGAGGTCAGAGAGAAGACTGAAGGGAAGGACGGAGGTCAGAGAGAAGACTGAAGGGAAGGACGGAGGTCAGAGAGAAGACTGAAGGGAAGGACGGAGGTCAGAGAGAAGACTGAAGGGAAGGACGGAGGTCAGAGAGAAGACTGAAGGGAAGGACGGAGGTCAGAGAGAAGACTGAAGGGAAGGACGGAGGTCAGAGAGAAGACTGAAGGGAAGGACGGAGGTCAGAGAGAAGACTGAAGGGAAGGACGGAGGTCAGAGAGAAGACTGAAGGGAAGGACGGAGGTCAGAGAGAAGACTGAAGGGAAGGACGGAGGTCAGAGAGAAGACTGAAGGGAAGGACGGAGGTCAGAGAGAAGACTGAAGGGAAGGACGGAGGTCAGAGAGAAGACTGAAGGGAAGGACGGAGGTCAGAGAGAAGACTGAAGGGAAGGACGGAGGTCAGAGAGAAGACTGAAGGGAAGGACGGAGGTCAGAGAGAAGACTGAAGGGAAGGACGGAGGTCAGAGAGAAGACTGAAGGGAAGGACGGAGGTCAGAGAGAAGACTGAAGGGAAGGACGGAGGTCAGAGAGAAGACTGAAGGGAAGGACGGAGGTCAGAGAGAAGACTGAAGGGAAGGACGGAGGTCAGAGAGAAGACTGAAGGGAAGGACGGAGGTCAGAGAGAAGACTGAAGGGAAGGACGGAGGTCAGAGAGAAGACTGAAGGGAAGGACGGAGGTCAGAGAGAAGACTGAAGGGAAGGACGGAGGTCAGAGAGAAGACTGAAGGGAAGGACGGAGGTCAGAGAGAAGACTGAAGGGAAGGACGGAGGTCAGAGAGAAGACTGAAGGGAAGGACGGAGGTCAGAGAGAAGACTGAAGGGAAGGACGGAGGTCAGAGAGAAGACTGAAGGGAAGGACGGAGGTCAGAGAGAAGACTGAAGGGAAGGACGGAGGTCAGAGAGAAGACTGAAGGGAAGGACGGAGGTCAGAGAGAAGACTGAAGGGAAGGACGGAGGTCAGAGAGAAGACTGAAGGGAAGGACGGAGGTCAGAGAGAAGACTGAAGGGAAGGACGGAGGTCAGAGAGAAGACTGAAGGGAAGGACGGAGGTCAGAGAGAAGACTGAAGGGAAGGACGGAGGTCAGAGAGAAGACTGAAGGGAAGGACGGAGGTCAGAGAGAAGACTGAAGGGAAGGACGGAGGTCAGAGAGAAGACTGAAGGGAAGGACGGAGGTCAGAGAGAAGACTGAAGGGAAGGACGGAGGTCAGAGAGAAGACTGAAGGGAAGGACGGAGGTCAGAGAGAAGACTGAAGGGAAGGACGGAGGTCAGAGAGAAGACTGAAGGGAAGGACGGAGGTCAGAGAGAAGACTGAAGGGAAGGACGGAGGTCAGAGAGAAGACTGAAGGGAAGGACGGAGGTCAGAGAGAAGACTGAAGGGAAGGACGGAGGTCAGAGAGAAGACTGAAGGGAAGGACGGAGGTCAGATAGAAGACTGAAGGGAAGGCCAGAGGTCAGATAGAAGACTGAAGTGGAGGCCAGAGTTCAGCCTTAAGGGGAATACTGGGACAATTAGATAAAAGGTTTAACTAAGAGAAGGTCTTTGTCAGATAAGCCGCAGTACCACTCCCATTTTTTAAAATGTTTATACTACTACTATTATTTTCCTGTCATGGTGGACGATGTTCTCTGCATACTCCAGGTGTATAAAGAAGATCTACCTCAGCTTAAAGAGCAATGCAAAGAAAAACACAAAAGTGCTTCTTCCAAGAGGCGGGAGAGCGCGCCCCTGAACAGCATCCGGCTACACTTCGTACACGGGTGAGGAACAAACCTGACCACGCCGCATTCACACTCTCCCGATCCTCTCTCTTCATTGCATCTCTATTCTCTCTCTGTCTGTCTTTTTCTGTAATGTTTTCTCTCTCTCTCTCTCTGTATCCCTTTGTCTTTGTCTCTTTCCTTGTATTTCTTACTCTATCTTTCTGTATCTGTATCTTTTTGTTTTTATGTTTCTTTTTCCTTGCTCTCTCCCCCCGTCTCTCTCTCGCCCCCTCTCTCCCCCCCTCTCTCTCTCCCCCCCTCTCTCTCTCTCCCCCCCCCTCTCTCTCTCCTCCCCTCTCTCTCAGGGGGCGGGGGACTTAAAAAAATGTTTTCTTTTTTAATTTTTTTTTTATGCTTCTTTATTTTTTTTTTATGGTTCTTTAATTTTTATAGTACTTTTTTTTTTTTAACACAACTTTATTGCTATTACATGGGGGGCTAAGAAGCCCCCTATGGGATAGCTAATTTACATGACAGGTCCTCTTAATGGAGACATCAGGGGTCTCCAAGACCCTAAAGTCTCCTAGGGACCCCCAGAGAAGCTGATGAGGCAGAGATGGGCTTCATCAGCTTCTCTAGCTGGAGAGTGACACTGAATGCAGGAAGTGATGTAATATACATCACTTCCTGCATTCGGAGACTTAGAGGAGATCAAAGGGAGTTCGTGTACTGAACTCCCTTTGATCTCCTGTCACAGAGCCGTGCCGGTCCCGGCCGCATCGGGCACAGCGGATCTCGGGACCGGCAACGGCAGTGACAGCTTCTGATACAAGCGATCGAGCGTCTCTAGAGCAGACGAGTGGATTTTCGAGCCCTGTATATATATATATCTCACTCTGTATTTTTCTTTCTCTTTCTTTCTTTCTTTCTTTCTTTCTTTCCCTCTCTATCTCTCCCCCCCCGTATCTCTCTCTCTGTACCTCTCTGGCTCCCTCTATCTCTCTCACGCCCTTCATGTCTCCTCAGGTACCGGGGCTATGACTGCCGCAGTAACCTCTTTTACACCCAGACGGGTGAGATCGTTTACCATGTGGCGGCAGTGGGCGTGGTCTATAACCGCCAGCAAAACACCCAGAGGTTCTATCTAGGGCACACTGACGACATCCTGTGCCTAGCCATCCACCCGCTGAAGGATTATGTAGCCACCGGCCAGGTGAGTCTATGAGTCCCTCCTACACAGAGACCCCCAAGGTGTCTTCCTGACGCATCGCTCTTCTAGTCATTCATCTATTAAGGGACTTCAAGGACTGTAAGACCTCAGCACAGAATGAACAGGGAGTATGTCATCTGACATTAGAGGGGCTCAGTGCTGCCCTCTATGTGACTCACTTTTTAACATAGAGTACATTGCCTTCATTCTGTGTGGCGGACACGGCTGTAAGATGTCATGAAGGGACTACAGACGTGCCCCCCGATCTACTGTGCTGAACTCTCCCTTTAGTTGTAATCTCGCTTCCAAAATTATAAATAGTTTGTTATTTATGTGTAAGATCATTCAGATATTTACCAGAAGGGTCAAGGGTCAATGCCATTGTCAGCTTTGTATTTCTGTGTGTGTTCCTTTGGGCCATTCCCAGTGACACCCTATCACACCGTAACGCATTGGGTGTCTCCCAGGGCAGGAAGTGAGAGGAAATCTCTGTACAGGGGACACAGACAGAAATTAAAACCTGGCAAAGTTTCTGACCTTCCCCCACACTATCCTAACCAGGATTTATGATAGAGGTGGGCTTTATATGGGGGTCACTCCTAGTAATTGCAGATCACCTTGTGATTGGATCAGACATCAGATTGAGGTCTTTTATGTCATTTTCCGGCATCTGGCTTGCATGGCGTCCCCAAATTTCCATGCTGGGACCTGTGTCTCTGCCAAATCAGTGTGTGAGCCACATATAGATATAATGGACGCTGAGCTGCACTATGACAATGCATCAATTCTTATCAGTCAAACAAATAAATGAGCCATTGTTTCAAGTTTACAGCATGTGAATTGTACACAGTGAGGCCTTTAGACAAAGCCCAGCCGAGAGGAGCTATAGGAAGCCTCACGTTTACCTGGGAGCCACATGTGACTGTAATGAGCTGACAACGCTGCACTGAAATCCCAAGCAGTGTTGTCAGCCCTGCTGGAGTTCTCCCTGGCTGGACTACACCTTGCTGGAACACCTATCCTCATCCTATAGGGGGTTGTGTTCGGTAGCCCAGCAGGGGAGAATTGGGGGGGTCTGACAACACTACGTGGGGTTTCAGTCAAGGCTGGATTTCCCACAAGGCCCGGCCTTCGGGGCAGCAGGGAGTAGAGGGGCAGCAGGGGTGTGGAATTCCAATCTCCCGATTTTGTTTTCTACATTTAGCCCGGCTATGGGCAAGCAGGTCTAAATGTACAGCAGGGAAGCCGCCGCTTGTTTTGTACAAGTGATCCCGGCGATGTTGCTGAGATCACTTATATGCAGCCCACATGCAGGGGGGGACATTGAGAAACCTGGCATTGGGGCAGCAGAGAGAGTAAATCCGGGCCGGCCCACAGTACCTCCTCTGCACCACAAGATGTCATCAGTCTTCCATGTTAAATGGCGCCCAGCATCTCGCTAGACTGAGGATAGATTGTGAGTGCAAGGCTTTATAGGCCAGTCCCCCAAGGGGGCGTTCACTACGTCGCCGTTCATTCACAGTGTACTCATGAAGAAACTTGAGATACCATCATCGTGCCTCTGCACAGAGGGGACACAAGGGGTGAATTTGGGGGGAACGGAGCACAAAGCCCAGAGTTGGGCTTAAAAAAGTTAGGTGCATTGCAGTAGGGCATATGGAGGGTGTGTTTAAAATGGAGCTGGACACTACCATTTCTAACTTAGAAGTGGCAGGTTCTCTTTAAGCTATGTGTTGGAAGAACTGA